TTCAGTCTCCATGGTAATTCAGTACACTTGTATAGCCTGCTACTTGAGAAACGTCTATGTCTGCCTGCCTAAGGAATGATTTAACATCTGTTCAGACTACATGCCTCCACTCCACCAGAGCTTCCCAATATGTAGAATGGTGCACAGATGTGACTGCTTGTTATCTGTACGGAATTGTTCCCTGAAACCAACTTCTATTCCTAATGTAAACACCTAGAAAAACAGTTGTGTGGCCAACCTCTACTCTGCTCTTGTGATTGTTAACATGATGGTTGGTTATTATGTCAATGGACCTGTTTTTTGCTTTGTACATCTGTGCAGTACTTAACAAGCAGCATATTGGGAGATGACTGTGAGCAGAGAAATCTGATAACATTGGATGCGCAGTTGCATAATACAGGCTTAGGCTATACCATGGTGTTACTGTAGTCAACCCAGTTGTTATGGGGCCCGATGGTGGGAAGGGGTCCCACTGAGGAGGTTGTGTGATGTCTCCATTTCAGAATAGTTGATATCAGATGAACAGGAACATGCTTTGGGATAATGCTGAGTCACAGGTCTCCTATGCATCCCTCATCCCCAGTCAGTGAGTAGATTTATTAAAGTGGAACTTTACCCATAACAACTTGATAAAAATAATGTTCTTTAGCAAGGAACATACATTCCACATTTATAATTTTGCTACCAAAATTAGTGTGTGCTGTAATTTGTCTCCAGCATTGGTCCTGTTTCTTCTTGCTGGAGGCTGCCATTTTGCTGAAGTAGCCCAGAGCCCCTGAACATCATTAAATCATAAAGCAGAATTAAACCCATCAATTTAATGGTTTCAAAACACAGTTACATTCCTGGATTGCTAGTGCTTGGATTCCTGGATTCGCTTGTGATTTGCTTGTGTCCTCAACCAAACTGTCCAAATGGCTGGTGTCATAATTGATCACATGTGCAGCACCATGGCAGTTACAGATCAAATAGAAGCAGCTTCTTTTGCTGTAAAGGATAGGAGGGCTGTCAGCAAATCGGCCTCAACAAATTCAGCAGTGCCTAAAAATGCTTAAAAATGGAGAGCAACTGAGCATTTGCAGAGCAGGGTGAAACAGTGTATCACTAGTTTTTAAACAGTATAGACATTTCTTTTTATTTTTTTACGTAGCTTTACCTGCAAAAGGGGCAGCCTGAAGTTTTCTGACTACAGTTCCACTTTAAAGTGTTACTAAACCCATGACCCTGCATTCACTATATCTGGTCTCCACAGTACATAGAATGTAGAAATGCAATTATTTTAGTAAATATAAACTGCTAAATACCTTTTCTCATCAACAGTTAGAGCAGTCTTGTGACTTGTATCAGTGTCCAGCCAAGCACATGTTAAAGCTTGTAGGAGGAATTTTCATTCGGCTTTAAGGGGATGCAGAACCCCTGACCTCTGTCTGGACAGTGCTGATTGGCCCTGTGCTGATCACATGCACTCTCGACCCTGACGATGTCATTGATGACAAAACACGTAAGGAGGAGCCTGAGCGTGTGACGTCATTGCGCACTGGAACGTGGCAGCCATCTTGCTGGTTAGAAACTTTTCCATCCAAGACTTGGTGACATGTTGTCTTTTTTTCATGATTATGTACGTTTTTTACTATGTTTGAGGCAATAAATTTGATATAAAATACTACACTATGAGAATTCCTTTCATCTTTTGAACTGGATTGTCTCTATAAGGAGAATTCTTTTTTAGGTTTTTCCTTGAGCTTTGTTTGGTGTGAAGATTTGAAATCAAAGAGCACCCATATCCATGGCTTGCTTTTTGGTTTTATACAGCGCAATCTGACCCATCCGTAATTGGGGGTCAAACCTATCCAGTAAGAGGCAGTGTGTTTGGTGGTGGTGAAAGATTCTTCCTCTCTTTCCTCTTGGCTGTTTTTTGAGATATCAATAGAAATGTTGTGGATCCAGGGGAGAGGGGCTCATTCCCTATATTTCAAGCCTTGTGGATTGGACTTTTTATATTCCTATATGTGTTTTGCATTTATATGTAAATCATACGTAGAGCTGCACTTCAGTTATTATTAAACAATGGATGTAATTTAGCAAACAAATGATATAAACAAAAATGTAAACATCAGCAAAAAAAGTAGAAGGGGAAGAAAAACTAAGTAAAGGTAATAAGTAGGGAAAGCTGGAACTGATGTTATGTGCAAAGCAAAAGTCTTCGGCCTGCACAAAAATACTAAAAATTAATTGTAATTATATAATTAGCTTTTTAAGGCTGCCTATGGGCAGAAATCACAAAATATCTGCTATTGCCTTGATAATCATAAAAGCCTTTTATGGTGCCCATCTCTTTTCCTGGACCTGGTCTGCACTGACTTACTGGACAGAGAATGGTGGCTGGTGGATCTTAATGATGAAGTTAGAGAAAGTCAGTCCCCAGTAACAATCTGAAAATAAATTGGAGAGAAACTGAGGAAGCTTTTCTGCCCAAAACAATTAATAGCAGGCATATTGGTCTTTAATCTGAAGTAGGTGTTTTACTTCTTAAAATGAAGTATAGATTCACTGCAATGATGATTCTGTCATCTGTCCTATTGACAACAGTTTCAAATTTACACAACAATCCCATATCTCTTATATCTATGCTACTAACGCAGGAAGGGCCTTATTTAATGTGACGGGACATGTGTCTGGTCTTCTTACTTGGGAATCTCTATTTTGTGATTTTGTAAGGTATTTAATTTATTTCTAAATCTTTCCATGAAGATTCCCCAATTCTAAAATATGAAGATTTCATCTGGATGTTTTCCTCCACAGTGCGTTCTGGCCCTGAACTGTATTTCATTTATATTTGTTTTTTCTTTTTTTGGAAAACCAGAATTGAATCAATAACCTGCATTTTGATTTATGTAATATTTTTGTAAGTATAAAGCGAATTGCCTTTTGTGCTGATTTTCTAAAAAAATTCCTAAAAACACTTACATTTATTTTTTCAGATATTCTTAGCGGCTCACTCTTTATGTGCATGTTATTATTATTATTAGTATTGGCAGACATGATAGAACAGAAGAATAGTTAGCAATTCTTGCTCAGATATCTTAAGGTTTCATAAGAGAGCGTTTACCCAGTCTGTCCATTTATGGTAAGATGAGGTAATCTTATTCTTGCTGAAAATGTGTGTGTCGAAGCATATACAGCACATTATTTAAAAGTCAAATAGGAGTTTACCATCCATCTTGCAGATTAAAACTAAAAACATCTCTTGCAGGATACTAGCCATGATGGTCTTACATCATTCAAGGGCACCACAACAAACAGAACATAGGCAAAGCAGAATAAAGACATGGAGGTCAGAGGTTCTAAAAATGTCTTCATAACAGAAAAACTGTTGTCTTTTGACACTTGAGTATACTTGCAACTTATATTAAAGCGCCCCCAAAAGCCCTCACCCAAAAGGAAAGTTCAGCTTTAAGTACCCGTTACCCACTCCCTGTTAAGAATTGGCACCATTGTGGAACGGGAACCTGATTTTGCAGGTACCCGCTCCCACTTCCGTTCTGTCCACCTAGGCGATCGGAAGCAGAAGTTCTCCCAGAAGACTGTGACACCGTTCACAGTGATCAGCACTGCTAGCACATGCGCAGTGGGCCTCCGGCTGTGAAGCCACAAGCTCTCACAGCTGGGTGCCCGCAGTTAAGATGCGCCGTGGACAGAGAATGGCTGGTGAACCCAACTGGGGTGAACACACCGATGGATTAAGGGACAGGTAAGTGGCTGTTTTTTTACAAGACAGCAGCTACAGTTTTTGTGGCTGCTAACTTTTAATTTTTTCACAGGAGACTGAAGCTCCACTTTAAGGTTGATATATGAAACTGTAGGGTTCTCAGGTGGCCATAAAGGGGCAGCGTGTGGCATTGATCTAAGCATCCTCCATTTATTCTCACTACTGTTTTGGACTCAAACATGCATGTTTTAATTGAAAGGAGAAGGAAAGTAGTAGGGAAATGCAAACATACCACAGTGATGACATCTGTTCTTGGGGGAACAGTCAACTAACAAGCTCCTTAGATGTGCAATTTCTAAGCAGGGGCGTAACTACAGTTCATGGAGCACCATAGCAAAATGTTGATGGACCCATCCTGTGTAGTGGATAGAAGAGATGGGCAGCAGCACAGAGAATCGACTTTTAGTGTTACTAAACCCAAGACCCTGCATTCACTATATCTGGTCTCCCACAGTACACAGAACATGGAAGTGCAAATATGTTAGTAAATATAAACTGCTAAATACCTTTTCTCTTCAGCAGTTAGAGCAATCTTGTGACTTCTATCAGTGTCCAGCCGAGCACTGGTTAAAGCTTGTAGGAGGAGTTTTAATTTTGTTGTTGGAGGATGCAGAACCCCTGACCTCTGTCTGGACAGTGCTGATCACATGCACTCTCCCAAGAAAAAAAAAAACCCTCTCTAACAATACACACAAACTGAGCATGTGCAGAGTGACTCCAAACCTGTGTTTTATCAGACAAAGGAAGAAGGGGAGGATCAGAGAAGAGAGGATCAAACATCCTTTTTACACAATGCGGAGGATTAACCCCTTAGGTTCCACAGGGAATCTATCAAGCATGCTTTACTGCATATACAGACTGATTTTACTGTTGTGGGTTTAGTAGCACTTTAACCTTAATTTTCCAGCTAACTATTCTGTCCTCAATAGTTGATCAGTCTTTTTCAGATTCTCAGATCTCAGTGCTTTAATGTTATCTCTAAGCCTTCATATCTAGTCCACCACCACAACAAACACCGAAAGAGGTGGTAAAATAGTCAGTTAAAAAACACAAAGATTTGTAGTAGCTACTAAACATCATAATACATTATACTATAAAAACAATTGTTAATTTATCTGGGCACAATCACTATAACCTTAATACAAACATCTTGGCTTTTTTTTTTTTTGCAGAATTACAAATCTCATCAGTCTTATCAGCTTTTAGCTGAGGATACACTCTTAAAGTGTTGCTAAGCCCACAACAATAAAATCAGTCTGTATATGCAGTAAAGCATGCTTGTTATATTCACTGTGGAACCTAAGGGGTTATTCCTCCGCATTGTGTAAAAAGGATGTTTGATCCTCTCTTCTCTGATCCTCCCCTTCTTCCTTTGTCTGATAAAACACAGGTTTGGAGTCACTCTGCACATGCTCAGTTTGGTGTGTATTGCTAGAGAGTTTTTTTTTTCTCTGGAGGGTGCACGTGATCAGCACAGAGCCATACACTGCTGTCCAGACAGAGGGTCAGAGGTCCTGCATTCTCACTGGGGAGAATGAAAACTCCTATAAACTTTAACCAGTGCTCTGCTGGACACCAGAAGTCACCAGACTGTTGTATACTGCTGATGAGAAAAGGTATTTAGCAGTTTATATTTACTAAAATAATTGCATTTCCATGTTCTGTGTACTCTGGGAGACCAGATATAGTGAATGCAGGGTCCTGGATTCTGTTTTTATTTTTTTTTTTACATGCTAATCTCAAAAAATGAGATTACTAAAGTTACAAAAAAATCTCGTAAAACAGAATACAACTTCAGAAGTGATGTATTGTATTGTAATGTATTCTTTCATTTCCAAGCGTGTGCGGTCTTGGTCACATGATTTTTAATGGACGAATAGTGTATTGATTAAATGAAAATCGTTTGGCCTGTTATCACACAAGAACACATTTTGTGCTTGTCCCTATGGATAATTTCCCATGAACTGTTGTGATCGGCTGTTGAAAGCTGTTTACTAATGATCAGTCTATAAGCAGTATTTTTCACCCGATTTTCTCATCACGTATACTAGACAATAGGAAGACTGAATTAGGCATACAGGATACATTTCAGTGGCCTGCATAAAAATTTGTGAAGGCAATAAATCTACACTGCTAAGACATCCAAACAAATGCTGTCTATTGCAGAGAAAGCCTGAAGACTCCTACATCTGACATCACTGGAGACCAGGGGCGGACTGACCATTCGAGCACTCGGGCACTGCCCGAGGGCCCAGGGTCAGTAGGGGGCCCCATGAGATGCCCCTGGTACCTTTCATTGGCTTTTTCATAGGCTTTTTTTGGTATGGGCAAGGACACAGGGGCCCCATGACCCCCTGTTGCCCGGGGGCCCCATGACTTGTCAGTCCGCCCCTGCTGGAGACATCACTGTTTTGTGAGTACCAGCATCAACTGCTACATCTCCAACCTCTAAAGATACAGCACTGAATTGATGTTATACTCACATGCACCCCAAGCCCCATAGCAGCCACATGGACTATTACGGCTATTGTTATGCCAGTGCTCCTAGGTCTGTTCATAGGGGTTTTTACATACCATAATACAGGTAGCATGACCTTCAGGCCTTCATCAGCTGTGGTAACAAAATGAGGACATGTAAACCTTTATATACGCATAACATCATACATTCTGGTTGGTGGTCCTTCAAATTTACCCTTAACAGGCTTAGCACCTATATACACATATATTTAATCAGTGCAATATATATCACAATTGATATGATTCAAACTATTTGTCTCCAGTGCACCCAATACAAACTCTGTAAAAAATGTCCCAAAAGTGTTTATTCAAATATCTTTTTCTGCTTGATCTCATCAGTAACCTGACAATGGGTTGTGACCTCAAATGTAAGAATTGAAAAATCTGTACAGTGCTGCCAGGCTCCCTAGAGCACAGTCACACAAATGTGTGAAATTGTCCATGACAAATGTGTGACAATGAGTTCCATGAGCTTCAGTTTATATATTGTATAACATTTTTGGAAGCTGGATTATGATAAGTTTTATAATGATTGTTTTCCATGCCTCTGCTGCCACAGACATGGGTTTGTTGTCCAATCCAGCTAAAAATGGCCAACACAGGCAACTTCTCCATGCCCAGCTTGGTAACCTGGCGTTCACTGCAGACACTGTCCTTTAAAATGCAGAAATTTGAGTGTAGCATTTCCACCTAGGATTTTGTTATAGTACAGTACTTTTTTGGGGCAGAGTAATGAAGCTTTCTCACTAGCTATGATATTAGAATCCATCCTCTGATGATTTGGAAGGCTTTCTATATCTTTTATTCATAACAATTGTCCTAGGCAGCCTTTTGTAAGTCCATCCACAAAATGCAGCAGCTCCCGAAGATACACATACACATAACTTCAAACATACCCAACTGAAAATCAGTTCCCATCCCTCTTTGGGGTCTTCTTTATTCTTATACCACCAGCAAGCAAAATACCATTGCGGTTGCTTAGAGATAAAGCACTCAGTAATATTTAAGACCAGGAGAGGGGAATGAGGACACACAGACATCAACAACATTCTATTTCACAAAATTGGAATGTCCATGTAGAAAATTTAGTATTATTTATTTAACCTTAATGCAGAAGAATTATTATGCATTGCAGCAACAGCAGTTGCAATTATCTCATTTTATATATTCCATGTCACTCAATAATAATTATTTTATAATAGTTTTTTCTAATTTTGTAATAGGTTAGAGGATTTACTTCTTGGGTTTTGTGAACTTGCAACCAATTGTTGTGTCAGTTTTAATACTTGTGACAGCAAAATTAGCATCACAGTTGATGATTAAAATTAGAACAGTTTTCTCTTACATTTCTTTCACCATTAAATTAACCATTTGGGAATTTGCTTCTGAACATAACAGCTGTTATTTTCTGTACAACTCAGTCTTACTATCCTCGATATATTGGTATTACAGCATAAAAACACATACAGTACTTAACAAAGTCCAGTAGTTAAGCATGACCATCCCTCTCTCCTGGGACAGAAAAAAGTGTATATAATTTTATTATTACATATCTTCTGTCTTGTTTATACTCTGTATCTAATGTAGTATGTTATAAACTGGCAAAGGACCACAGCTTTTGTAGGACTTGTAACCATCCAGATCAGATGTAGAACCAAATCTCTGTGTAATGGAAGCCTTTCCTCTCTGCAGAAAAATAAATGTCTGTTTTAGATCAATAATTGTCACAGTAAATGCAACAAAGTGACTAGATAGTATTTTAAAACAGTGTTTATAAAGCAGACTTGGGTGTAGAAATAATCCAAATTAAAAGGTATGTGCTAATAACAAATTTATACAAAAGTGTATGTCATCATCCAAAAAATATTAGTGTTTTAAATAAATTATAGTGTCCAAACAAATATATATATCTTCAGTGACTTGTTTGTTCTATATATCTTCACTGACTATATATTTGTTTGGACACTATAATTTATTTAAAACACTAATGTTTTTTGGATGATGACATACACTTTTGTATAAATTTGTTATTAGCGTATACCTTTTAATTTGGATTATTGTTGCCAAAATTTATTTTGGGTGGGATATGCTGCTGACACTTTGGTGTTTTTTGTAAGTGGCGCTTTTTTCTTTTTTAATTTGGTATTGGGTGTAGAAATATCTGTAGAGGATTGGACTAAGTGGATGGAAAAAAATTCAGAAAAATACCTTAACCTTACCTTAGTCGAGACAAACTATAAGGTCCTTTCTCAATGATATTTAGTCCCTTCCAGATTCGCCAAGATCTATCACAAAACTTTCTTCGTCCTTGGATGCAGCCAGGAAGACATCATGTTTCATATATTGTGGACCTGCCTCAAAGTTTCATCGTTCTGGATCTGTATGTACCCTCATTTACTCTGTAACAACAGTTAAAATATCTAAAAACGCAAAAATGGTGCTCCTGAACAAACTGCATATCCCTAAACATACCAAGACCTTAATATTTTTTATGTTTTTGGTGGCAAAAATATAATTTGCTAAGGTATGGGAATCCCCAGTTGTCCAAATAAACACCACCAAGAATAAGCTTTCTTGGAATATGCTTCATAAGAAATTGGCTATCATCCTTCACAATAAGCAAACCAAATCAATAAGATCTGGAACCCCTGGCTGCAATATCTGCAACCTACAGATTAATGGGGGAAAGGTGGTTAGGTACTGGGGTCCAGCACTGGGGGAGCCACTCTCTGTATCATCTCTATCTATTTTCTCTATTTCTTTCTTTCTTTTTTTTTTTTACTTTCCCTTTTTTCCACCAACTACCTCCCCAACTGAGGTTTGTACACTGGGACATACTGTAGTTCCCAATATGGTTATATTGATTTGCTAATACATGTTGAAGTAAGTCAGTTAAGGACTATTTCTTTCTGAAGCCGGACATAGCTTGAATCAAGCCCCCTTCCTTTGGGCTGTATATGTATAGAGACAAGAGGCTTCACTTACTTGATGCATGTGAAGAGTTTTGTTCTATGGTTTAGTGTGATGTTATCTGTATATTTCTACTTATTTGACTATTCCTGGTGCCCTTGTCATCATTGTCATCAAAGAATGTTTGTAACTCGTTCTTTTCTACTAAAATAATAACAATTATTGAAACTAAAGTGTTTTATAGTCTGCAGTTAGGAAAGTGCAGCTTACAAGTACTTAAAGTGTATATAAACCCAAACATTGAAGTTCCCTTAACTGTTCTCTTTTGGTCTGTTAAATATACAACTAAAAGTATTTTATTAACTGTTTAATAAGTTTGAAAAATACATGTTTATCATGCCAGAAATTTGGTGAGCTCCTAACTTTCCGTGGCTCTGCTGTACTGAAATTTCAAGCACTGTCATTAATAGTCAGAAATCCTCCTGCGCTATGAGATGGAAGTACAGAACCTATTCTACAGCTGCCAACACTCAAGAACTGATACCAAAACAGTGTCAATAAATCATAGAAAACAGTGTAGCGCTCTTAAAGAACTGTGTCTGATACACAATAATAATTCCTAAAAATAAATAAATCAATATAAAATAATATAATATACAATAGTGACAAAAAATAAGTGCCAAACTAAGATTCCAAAAAGAAATCTATCACCCATTTAAGAAATACGTGTACCGACATATAAATAATATGTGACTACTATTTCACACAAACATATGGATAGTGTACACACATCTACTAAAATTAAGCCAAAAAATCCAAACTTAATCCAATGAGGGAACTCTTAGCAGTGCTCACACAGTGCCAAAAAAATGAAAATTTATAAATGTGTCCTCCTTGATGAAAGACAATCTTAAACAATGTCCTTTTGTGGAAATGAATAAAATCATGCAGTGTGCAACAGTGATAATTAAATAAATCCGTGACTGTGCCAAACTCTTCTCCTGTTAATGGCTAGATTGCCTCCTCACCTCTTCCTAATGACCCCAAAGGGGCCAACAGGCTTGCAGGATCACCCTGGATCCTTGATTTATAATGGCCAGCAGCTTCCTTCCTTCCCTGGATCTCCTTTGTGGGGCTCCTAGTGCCCCTGATCAGTCAAGGTGGTTCTGAAGGATAATAGCTCACCAATCAGTGAGCCAAGAAAAACCTCTAAGTGTAGTACTTTAGTAAACTTTGTTTATTCAAAGAGTAAAGAGTATCACTCAC